GTACCAGAAATGAGCCGGAAAGGACAGCCAGGGGGTAAAACTGATCAATTTTGATAGTTGAGGGACTGGCTTGCTTAATTTTATAGTTCAGGGGGGTTTTATGCTGATTCCTAATACTTGAGGGGGGTTTTATGTTTTTTTGCCTTATATATTTGATCAGGTACAACAAAAGTAATGGTGAATTATATATGTTGGGCATTATTTAGTGGCTTAGTGTAATGGGTCGGGTATTTCGTGATTCAAGTGTTCAATCCAAAAAGATAAGATATTGGTAAGGTATTACCTAGTGGCCTAGTGTAATAGATGGACGTTTGCCCATTTACCAAAAAACTCAAACTGTTGGGTAATGTTACATACCCACCCATTCATACCGAATCACTTTTTCATTCGGATCCAATGTGGGACAAATGGCTCCTTGTAACATTCTCCCTCACCCTAACCCACGCAACGCCCTCTTTGCGGTCGGACCACCCTGCTTACCCGGGGTGAAGATCCGAACTCCCTCCGAGTCGGGCGTTTTGCGTGACACTGGATCAAGGACTGGGTCTATCTCTGATATCAACTGTAACGAGTGGACGTTTACCCATTTACCCAAAAGCTCAAACTGTTGGGTAGTACTGCATACCCACCCATTTATACCGAATCACTTTCCCATCCGGATCTAATGTGGGACAAATGACCCTTGTAACTCTTTAGGGTAATGGGACCCGTGTCCATATCTTATAGTAGTAGTAGTTTTTGCCAATGAAATAAAAAAGTAAATAAATTTAGGCTTTAAAAAATAAACTAAAATTTTCTCAAAATTTAGGGTAAAGTGCAAAAAACCCCCTTCAACTATACCCCAAGTGCAACTAACCCCCCTCAACTACAAATAACCCCCCTCAACTATGGTCTTGGTGTAGTCTTAGGACAGAGAGTGTTCTTCAGGTCATTTATAGCTACCGAAAATTTAAAAAGTCTAATTTACCCATCCATAAAATAGTGCCACATCACAGTGAGGAAAATAGAATACATGGAGGACACGTGTCAGCAGCTTATTGGTTGATGACTTTATTATTATTTTTCCTTTTCTTTATCCTCAACTGGGTCACTTCTTAATACTCTCTCTCTCTCTAACGCGTCCCTGTCCAAGCCGCCAAATTGAAACGCGATGAACCCCCAAATTGAAAAAGTGACGACGAAACCGGCAATTGACAGAACGGCAGGCAAGGCGGTGACGAGCTTGGCTGTGGCGGATTGATGGAGACAGGCTGGCTATGACGGCGAGTTGGAGATGGGCTGGCTATGACGGTGAGGTGGAGACGGCCTGGCTGTGACGGCGAGGCAGGTGGAGGGCTCGGCTGTAATACCCCTAATTTTAAAAAGGATATTCCTGGTATTTAATGGTATTTAATTTATTATTTAAGTGCATTTTATTTGATTATGTGTCATTATTTTTTTTATTAGGTGCTTAATTGTTTTCTTTTGTGGTGATTTAATTTATTTAAATGATATTTATTTTTAGTTATTTGATTGGAATTACTTGTTAGTGTTTTAATTATTTAATTGGCATTAATGGTTTAAGTGTAACTGATTTAGTTATTTGATTGGAATTACTTGTTAGTGTTTTAGTTATTTAATTGGCATTAATGGTTTAAGTGTAATTGGTTTAATTATTCTATGTGTGTCTTATTTTATGTGTATCTTATTTGGTTTAATTGGGTTTACTAATTATTATTTTGTTCAATTAGATTATTTATTAAGTATTTAATGGTAAATAGGGTAATTAGGTAAATACATCTAACTAGGGTTTTAATTACAGTATAAATTAGGGTTTTATATTATAGCCGTCGTAGGTTGCTACGTTAATTGGATGGGCCGGTTAGGATTGTGAGTTGGACTTAAATGAACCTAGGGTTTAGGAAAACTCTATAAGTATAAGGTAGACGTCTGTGTAGGGTTTTTTTTTAAATAAAGCACACGTTTTGTGGAAGTGGAGAAGGAAAAACGCAGTTTTTCACATTCTGCTAAGGTTTGATCAAAGCTCCGATCCCGCTTCGTCCGTGATCCGATCGAGCTGAATTTTAAAGGAGAGGTTCACGACTCAGTGACGCACAATCTGAACGGTGAAGATCAGAGTTTGACCTCGGGAACAGTGATTCATACTCGTGAACAGTTACTGGGTCGCACAGGTTTTTTCCATTCTGCCCATATTTCATCAAACATCCGATCCCGCTTCGTCCGTGGTCCGATCGAGCTGAATTTTGGAGGAGAGATTCATGACTCAGTAACGCACAATATGAACGGTGGAGATCAGAGTTTGACCTCAGGAACAGTGATTCGTACTCGTGAACAGTAACTGGGTCGCACAGGTTTTTTTTCCCATTCTGCCCAGATTTCATCAAACATCCGATCCCGCTTCGTCCGTGGTCCGATCGAGCTGAAATTTGGAGGATAGGTTCATGACTCAGTGTCGCACAATCTGAACGGTGAAGATCAGATTTTGAGTTCGGGAATAGTGTTTCGTACCCGTGAACAGTAACCAGGTTTTGGAACTCGCCGGGATTTTTTAAGAAGACGACGTTGAAACTTTGAACAAAAGTTTCTGAGGCAAGATTCTATCCTTACTCTTTCCCTTAGGCTTCATACTCTTTGCACTCTTAAATGATTTCAGGATTAATGAAGATTAAACCAAACTAAAATGATATCTGTTTTGCTATGAAACTGGTAGTTACAGTAGTGTTGTATGCTTGTTCAACCTAAACTAAGCATGTTTGTGGATGCATTGTGGTTCTGTGGTTCACGTTTTTCCTTACCACTGCCAGTATAAATTATTGGAAGGATGGGTCTAGATGATAGCTATCTTAACTTCTGTAATAGCAACTGTTGGAACTTAAATACTAGGAGGATTTGAGTTTAACACTAGATCGGTTTTGTGGAACACTATAATTTGAGCATGTCTACATACATACTGTGAATATTGTTTTGATGCTTACATTATCACAGTTAGTATCAACTGTGGAGGTTAAGATTTTGTGATACATACCCTACATATCTGTATGTCATTTGTAAGGTGTTAAATGGAAGTTTTAATTAATTCTGTCTTTATGTCAGACTAAAGGGAACAACTTAAATTGGGCATGTATATGTTGTTGTTGTGACCCTGTTTATCAATGCTTATTTTATTACTGCTAACATTGAATGTTGGATGTTGGAATTTAGTTGATATATACTTGATTTATTGGTATTATTGACTACTGGAGGATTGGAAAGTAGGCACCGGTATGAGACGGTGGCATACTAAGGATGGGTTTGGTTTTTAAATCAATACCATTACCCACCTACTTGGAATAAGGATGGGATTAACTAAAAGTTAAGTCCCGTGAATTTGTATTGTCATGGCAACTACTTGTTGAGCGGCAATACCAGGGATTTTGGATGGATTTTATATATGTACTGTTATGGTGCCTCGGTATGAGCTTGAGCATCAGGACCGATGGCTAGAGAGCGTATATGCATCGGGATGTGTAGCTGGCTACGATGGTTGGAGGTGTACCCTGTTTAGGTATAGGTACATATGCCCACTTCGTGTGCGTTTTAGCATGTTACCTCTATTCAGGTTGAGACCGGCCTGTAGTCCAGTGAGAGTCCTTCAGTGTGACTATATATATATTTACGGACTATTAGTTATTGTTGAATTGTTTAGGATGTACATGCGTATCGGGCCTCTGTTTGGATTGTAGTAGTATAGAACTTGCGCGTGGGCCTGACCCACTTCTATTTTTCAGGTACACGACAGTTCCAGGCTTATACGTGTTCGTGCTGAGCAGAGGTCTCTATTCACTCTTCCGACGATGTAGGGCTCTCTCTATAGTTTTATTTCTGGACGTTTATTACATTTGTTCTATCTTCCGTTTGGATGTTTAATAGGGGTCCACTAGAGATGGATTCCCAAGTTGTAAACTGATGGAGTTTTGGAGTTTGGGTTTGATGGATTTTAATAATTATAATATTTTGCGGATTCTATTTTTAGTTCCTTCCAGCTTTAATTTCATTTCTTAATTTATTTTGTATTCCGTATTCATTATAAAATATTAATTGTTTGATATTCTCTAGGGTTTGGGCCTGGGCCTGATCAACCCGTGTCTCGGATCCGAGGGGTATCTCATCGGCTGACTCAGCCATGAACGACTCGTGGTGGCGAGCTTGGCGGGATTGAACGACGGCCGAACTCACAACGAGCAAGGACGCTTTGGACAGTGGAGAAGATGAAGACAGCCTCGGCGGTTTCGGCTTTAGATGATGTCGGCTGTGTGGACGGCGGGTGGTGCAGCGGCGGTGATGGACCAGCGAGGGCTCAGCCTTGAGGAAGAAATGCGGCGGTGGTTGGGTTTTGCAAATCAGTTCTTTGCGATTGGGTTTGCTTGTGATTGGGGTTAAAATTTGCGATTGGGTTTGCTTGTGATTGGGGTTGAGAATCAGTTTTGTTATTGTTGAAATCGAATTTCTCATCTTCCAGATGAAAACTTGCCATGAATATGGACGGGCATGTGCACACGACCTATATATATATATATATATAGAGAGAGAGAGAGAGAGAAAGAGGTTCCATTAAACAAAATTAAATGATGTATACTTATATAAACAGCTACAGAGGAACTCATTCTCTGTAAAACATACAATATATATATACATATATAGGTAGATAGAGATATACTCCATAGATCAATGAGGAAGGAGGACAAAATGTTAGGGCTTGTTTGGATACCAGTTGGGTCCAAATGTATTTAAAAGGTATTATGGTCTTTTATATTTCATAAGGGCTCTATGGTCATTTAGAGAAATATGGGCTATCACGTGCCAGCCATATGTTAGAAATCCATCAACCGGTTGCCTGATTGGATAAAGTACAATCAAATAACATATTTCAAGGGGGTTTTATGCTACTAGGGGATTTTTTTTTGCTCATTAGGGTATAGTTGAGGGGAGTTTATCGTACTATACCCCCAAAATATATTTTATTTTTCCTAATATTTACGTCACTTCATAATTTTTCTGCTACACGCATTGCGACAGAGGAAGGGAGAAAGGGGAGAGATTGTCGACAGAGAGAGAGAGAGAGTGAGATGAAGCCAATGGTGGTGGACTACTTCGCTGACATGGAGGAGCAGGGGTCGGCGATGGACGTGGATGACGTGGACGCCGACACCCTCGAGATCTTCGGCGAGGGCCCCATCGCCATCGACCACAAGCTCGCCGATGCCGACTTCTTCAATTCCTTCGAGGACGACTTTGACGACTCCGATATCAACTGAAACTCACCGCCACCGTCATCAATCCTTCTATTTCTGGGGTTTTGTTTGGTAAGATTGTCTCTTCTCATGCTTATTTTGAAGGAACAATGAGAATGCAATGTTTAGATACGATCTTCTGTTACGGATCTATGTGCGCTTGAATATATAATTAATACAAATTACTCTTATTTTAGATGTCTAGTTGATTGCTTATATAGTTGTTGGTATCATCGGTTGTCCGGATTTCATCTAATTTTAGAGATTTCTGTTATTGGTTCTAAGCTTCAGGCAATTATGGTGAATTGTGAGAATCTATTATGTAGGGTTTCTCTTAGAATCAATAATGTGTGTGTGTGTGTGTGTGTGTGTGTGTGTATATATAGTTCTGATGTTATTTCTGTATGCATCATTTCCTGTTTAGAATTGGGACAATTGCACTTACCTCCTCTAAGTATATCAGAGAAAGAGAAGATGCAATGATAAAAATAAAAAAAAGTGAAAGAAAAAGAGAACTTTGAATGAGCCAGTTCAATCATGTATTTTAGTTTAGTACCGGGGCTCTGGACCAAAAAGACCTAACGGAGTAATACCTCATTCATGGGTAGTATGGTGATTTTGCAAGCTCTATTAGCAGAGTTAGGTGTGGTTTGATAAAACTGCAAGTTAAGTATTGAAAATTCTAAGAACTGAATTTTAAGTGTTGATGCTTTAAGCTGCAATCTGAAATTGTTTTTATTTTTTTAAAAAGAAAATTATATATTTTATTGGATTTTAAGTGTTCAACATTCACTGGTAACTCATAAGTGAAGTCACTGCCACTTAAAATTTTACACAAATTTAAGCAGCACTTGTATTAAAAGTGATTCAAAATGCGCTATCAACCACACTTGATTCGATGAACACTTAAATCAATTCAGTATTAAGTGCTGAATTGGGCTATAAAACAAAATCTTAGTCTGAAATCATTGACAAGTGAGGTCAGTGTTATTTTTGAAGAGTGAAGGGAGATCAAGGTCAGTGTATATTCCATTGAAAGTTTGATAGTCTCATTTTTTTTTTTTTTTTTGTTGTTTGTAGAGGCCAGCTTGTTATGATGGATTGCGGTCCTCTGTTTTAGGGGTTTAGGGTTTCTCTTTCCAAGCTGGGTAGCTAGCTTACTGAGGGTTTAGGATCTCTATCGGAAACAATTGAACAACTTGATTTATTTATTTATCTATTCAGTTGGGATTTCTGTCAAGGTTTGAAGAGGAGGGCTTCATCTTTTGGTAACATTTTGGTGATGATCTGTGGAGGGGGTTCTAGGGTTACTTGTTGTTCAACGAATTTAAGATACGGAGTGAAATATGATTTCGGGTCTTGGGGATGCTTTCTACTTCTCAAAAAAATAAGTGTTCCTCATGTTTTTCTAGGATGGAATTCGAAGCCATGGTAATGTGATTGGAAGCATCAATTGTTGCTTTGATCTCTAAATTGTCAGGATAGACAAACGGAGTGTGATAATATGTTGGTGGATAGTGGATTATTTATATACACTTCTGGATAACATGCTTGCAATTTGCTCTGTCTAATACACTAACTGAAGGGTGACAGGTTTTTGGAATCTTTGGGGTTGTATTTGGTGAGGGTTGGTATCTTCGTGGATATTGAAATGTGTTTAGGATGCATTACGTACTTTGCAAGTTGTGTAGGACTTCACAGTCCGAAAAAAAAAAAAAAAATTGGGTAGGACTTCAGGAGTAACTCAAAACTGGCTCTGTACCTTGAGGACTGTCTTGTTGAACTTGCATTTTGGTCATGATGTGAACACGAAGATTTTGGTGAGGTCATTGGATCACTCTGTTGAGTTGCTCTAAACTAGATTCCCTGATTAAGAGGTTCTCTTTCTGTGATGCCACATGGAAAGTGATAAAATAACTATTTTTGAATCGCTTAAGGATTGTAAGTCTGTGGTCTCAAGTAAAGAAATGAGAACTTTAAGATAAATATTGTAGATATTTGTAGGGAACCCAAGAATACTTACCACTATGGCTGCAGTTGCAAAGAACAAACTTGATATTCTTTAAAAATGTAAACAACAATTCTGAATTCATAAAAGTCAGCATTCCAAAGAAATAAAACAAAATCTGAAGAAAAAACTTTGCTTGGCGTCTGCCCTGTATCGTGTAGTTAGTTACTATGGGTTAGGAACAACCCAAAAGGGCGGTGGTTGAATTTTCTGCATATTACATTGATAGAACGGTTCAACACTTCTATCATCCAAGTTGAATATACTCATATCGTGGCCCCCGTACAAGTAATCCTCATCCATTCGATCCCCGTAATCGTCGGTGAAGTAAATTGAATTTGCCTTATATTCTGGAAAATCGTGAGCAGAGAGTGACATTGAGTGATTCCCATCCAAAAATAACATGCTATTGCTTAAAGATTTTACCTCTACCCACTTCTTTTGACCAAATTCCAACTTATAAACTCTGAACTGCAATGTTTTGTATGGACAAACTAAAGGGTGGTTCGTTTGACCATTGAGAAGGTCTTCCTCATAAACTGGTACACCATCATGAACATACTCTCCAGTATACCTCTCAACAAGCAGAAGATCACCTGATGTTTCTACCAAGTAGCAACGTGTAGTATAAAGATCTTTTTGCCAAGGTTCTTCCACTTCTTTTATAGGGAAAGAAGGATCAATAGTGGTTATTTTAATAGGTAAGGAACCATGGAAGCCCCAAACTTCAACCGAACCACGCTCAGATAATGCAAAAAACATACCATCATCATCGAATGTTATATCGCAATAAGGTGCATGTTGCTAACCTTCAAGACCAGTCCATGCATCGTCTCCAGGCCTAAAAAAGGCAAGCTTCAATTGGTTGCCGTCGATAATAACTATTCTGTAATTGTTGTTGTGAGATGGATTTGAGGATAAAATAACCTTCCTGATCAACTGCTTGTGGAGATATTTTAAGGGTGATGTATACTGCCTATAATGGCCAACCTTGTATGTCACAAGAACCGTGCCTTCAGAATTTTTTTGAACACTCAGTATGTGTGGTAAAGCTTCTTTGTTGGGTAGTTGAATTCGAACTCGTGAAAATAGATTGAGGAGAAAAAGATCCGTGTTTTCATCCAAGAGCACCAGCCACCCATGAGAGGAACCAACACAATGACTATTGTAAAGTTCCCTCGGCACGTTGTTAAGCCTTCCCACCCTTTTGTGCTCGAGATCGAAGAAGCGACTGAACGAACCAACATCGTCTGTGAAGAACCCATCATCGTCTATATCGCATTCTTCTTCTTCAAATGGAAGCATGAGCAACGGTGTTTGAAGAAGATGATGATGAGGGCCGGGGGTGTGAGGTGGTGTGGGTGGCAATGAAAAGTAGTTTTGTACAGTGTTATGCATTGAAGTTGAGACAGCTTTGAAACTTAAACATGTTGATGAAAGACAATTTGGGTGGAATCAATTCTAAAATCTCTGTTGGAAGTTCAGAAAGTGAGTAGGTTGTTCTTTTTGATTCGCGAAACATTGTTTGCATGTGAACGGAAGTCCTATCAGAGATCAAAAAGAAGGAAACTATGGTATGTGATTGAAGCCTCTCTACATGTTCTTCAAGACTCAAGTAATTAATGTGCCACCACAGTAAACTTGAAGCTTGCGGGTAAACATATGAAACTTATGGATTCCACTTCTTATAAACTAAACATCCAAATCCAAATATCACCATATCACCATATGAAACTCCGTAATTTCTTGAAAATAATAATTATATTAAACAGATTATTTATATATAGTATTACTATTAAAAAGGGCCTTCCAATACTCGGGTAAATATGGTAAAAATTGAAAATAAAAATTTCATGTGTTCAAATTTGAGGATAATCACTTTGTGCAAAATATTAGCATAAATTAATTGCATCAAATCCCCCACAATTACAGAGAGGTAACACATTACATTGGCCTAGCCAATTGTAATTTTTTTGCGAAGAATGCCAATCGAGATAGAACCTCAAAACTAGGCATTTTAGATGGAATGGGGCAGATCGGCCTGATACTTTGAGGTTAACATGTGCCATTGATTCGTGAAAAAGGGTAACATGTGCCATTGATTCGTGAAAAAGGGTTTGAACCAACCCCAAGTATATTTAAAGCCTGGAAAGCTCTGCTTATTAAACAAGGCACATACCCAATAGTAAAGTGATGAATATAAAGCTCAAATTGAAAAGCTTTCTCTGGCATAGAGCTTTCTTTAAACTCGATAAAGCAATCCATTGAGGTGTGTATAGTATGTAATTGAAGCATTGGAATTGGTGAAATTTGAGTAATTTTTGATGCAATTTTCTTAATTAATTTTTTAAAATTTTATAAATTCTAATTTCAAGGCTTTAATTTTGTAACTGAACATACCTGAAGACATTTACAGAATTTCTTGGAATTGGAAAAATAATTGGAGCAAAGTTATGGCGTTTTTGGTTCATATTCTTAGTTGATAGTTTCTTAAAACTGTTTTCCAAAAGACTTGTTAATATTACCGCCGGCTCATATTAATTGTCCATCTCGAAAACTTTGACTTGTCGCCTTTTATTTTTGAGGTCATTTTTAGTCATATTCCTTTTATATACTTATATATTACCTATATCCCATGTTAGATATTTACTTCGGCAACTTTGACTCACAAAAATTGTGAGTCAAAGTTTTTGAAGTGGACAACTAATATGGGACGGAGGTAGTATAAGATAGGGTAAAGTGTAAAAAAAAATAAAAAAAAAAAAACCTAAACTATCAGTCAATTTAACAAAACCCGATGTAAACTATCAAAAATATTGCATTGGGCTACTTTCAAACTTATACAAAAAAAAAAAAAACTCCACAAAAAAAACTCCACAAAAATTAAACACCCCCTCAACTAAAAAAAAGCTATCAAGTTACTCCAAATTGATTATTGTGAAATGACAAAATTAACTTTATGATTTAATGTTAAATTAAAAATTAAAAATTAAAAATTTTAATTTTAAAATTACAAAAATACCCCTATCAAGTGGGTCTTCCTCCTCTTTTTACCCTCTGATACTGTTGGGGTCGAGTGGTGGTGATGGTGGTTCTAGGGTTTTGGAGGAACTTTGTAGGAGGTGAAGGGTTGGGGTTAGAGACTGGGATTATGTATTTGAGTGTGAGGGGTTTGCGAGATTTGGAGGTGGATGAGAGAGAGGTTGCGGCGGAGTCCATGACGGCCCAATAATTTCCTTCCTCCTCAGCTTTCACGCACAACTTATATACATATACAGGCACCTGTAGTATAAATATCTTTTTGCCAAGGTTCTTCCACTTCTTTTATAGGGAAAGAAGGTTCAATAGTGGTTATTTTAATAGGTAAGGAACCATGGAAGCCCCAAAATTCAATCAAACCACACCCGGATAATGCAAAAGACATACAATTATCATCGAACCTTATATCGCAATAAGGTGCACGCTGCTGACCTTCAAGATCAGTCCATGCATCGTCTCCAGGCCTAAAGAAGACAAGCTTCGATTGGTAGCCGTCGGTAATAACTATTGTGTAATTGTTATTGTGAGATGGATTTGTGGATAAAACTGAATATATTTCAAGGGTGATGTATACTGCCTATAATAGGTTGTTCTTTTTGATGATGTGAGATAGAATCATTTTTGCATGAAGTTGGATAATGATGGTGGTGTGACTTGCATTATTTGCAGATAATGATGGTTGTGTGACTTGCATTATTTGCATGAGGGTTATTTTAAGATCAAAGTATTCACAGGGGATAAAAGTTACTGGAAGAGATTGAATTGCCGATATAATTTTTAATTTGAGATGTTGGAGAAAATTAAAATAGACAGTGAATAATCTTTTTGGATTTGCTAGCGATTTTTGCATGTGAACAGAATTTCTCTCAAAGATCAAAAAGATTCTGTTCATTGGAATAGCCTAGTGTTACATTTAGACCTGCATGAGAATTTTACTTGTGAAATAAAACAGGCGCTTGGTTTTTTTAATCCCCTTGTGAATTTTAATCCCCTTGTGAAATAAAACAGGCGCTTGGTTTTAATCCCCTTTATTTTTATTTTCTAAGTCACTTGGAATAGATAGATGAATGTTTGAATGTTTGTGTAATTTGTTTTACTCCCTTATGTGGATCAACAAAATCTTTTGTTATGCTATATAAATTTCTTTCTGCAAAATACCATTAAAAAAAAAGTCTTTTTTACATTCATTTGAAATAATTTGAATTTAAGGTGACATACAAGAAAAGAACTTATTCAAATTCCTTACGAAGTTGTGAGTGAAAATACCTCAATCAAGATACATATTACTTCAATTAAGGTACATATTATAGATTATATCACTAGACCTTTTAATGTATAAAGATGACATTTTTAATGTATAAAGATTAAATCTTTGAAAAAAATTAAAATTTTTGTATTATCTTATATGCATTACTACTGCAAGAATTAGAAGTTCAAAACCCATATATTTCGGTTTATCTATCTGCTGCAAGAATCAAAAGTTCAAAACCTTTTACCTATATCAAAACCCATATCGGCATATCATTTCAGATTGTTCAAAAAATCAAAACCCATATCTTTCAGTTTCCATCGCCCGCTGTTCCTGTTCGGGTTTGCCGTTCTCAATCTTCAGCCGCTGGCCCGCTGTCTCTCAACTCTCAAGCTTACCCCCTCTCTCTATGCAACTGCTAACTTGTATGTATACGTTTTGTTTTAAATTTTTTTCTAAATCAACTAATCAAGGTCTGTAATTCTTGTTTTGCAAACTAAATCTTATTTGGTGAAAATTTTTATGATCTTTTTTATATCGCAATAAGGTGCACGCTGCTGACCTTCAAGATCAGTCCATGCATCGTCTCCGGGCCTAAAGAAGACAAGCTTCGATTGGTAGCCGTCGGTAATAACTATTCTGTAATTGTTATTGTGAGATGGATTTGTGGATAAAACAAATTTTCTGATCGAGTGCTTGTGAAGATATTTCAAGGGTGATGTATACTGCCTATAATAGGTTGTTCTTTTTTATGATGTGAGATTGAATCATTTTCGCATGAAGTTGATAATGATGGTGGTGTGACTCTCATTATTTGCATGAGAGTTGGATAATGATGGTTGTGTGACTTGCATTATTTGCATGAGGCTTATTTTAAGATCATTTAAGTATTAATGCCAGTGATAAAAGTTACTGATAGAAGATAGAATGAGATTGAATTGCCGGATATAATTTTTAATTTGAGATGTTAGGAAAAAATTAAAATAGACAGTGAATAGATTATTCTTTTTGATTTGCTAGCGATTTTTGCATGTGAACATAAGCTTTCTCAAAGATCAAAAAGACGCATAATTATTATTTTTATTTATTAATTGAAACTCTCCAAGTAATTTAATTGGTTTCCTATGTAACTTATGGTTCCACTTCTTATATTAGTATTGGGATAGTCCTATTCCAATTGAAACTTTTCTATTTTGTTTTTTTCTAACATTAGGGCGTTATTAATTAAAACACTCCAAGTAATTAATTGCCCCACCTAGTAAACTAAACTGCCAAAATCACCGGATCAAATTCGAATACTCCGTAATTTCTTGAAAATAATAATTATATTAGTACAGATTATTCATATATAGTATTACTATTAAAAAAGCCCACCGGGTTAAATAGAGTAAAAATGATTCATTTTTCTTAATTATTTTTTAAAATTTCATAAATTCCAATTCCATTATTGAAGTAAATTGAATTCGCTTGCACCAGATCCATCATTGAAGTAGATCAAAATAATGAAATACACCTACCCCACCACTCCTGCACCTGATCTCTAAATCGAATTCGCCTTACATTTGTTGGAGTTATGTTTTAAATTGATTTTATTAATCTTTACTTACGAAGACAAAGTATTTTTACGAAGTCTAACTCAAAGGTTTTTCATATGCTGCATTTAATCTACTATATTAATATGTTATTTATGAGTTAAGTTTAAAGTTACATTAAATGCTTAATTAATGTCTTCTAAATATATTATATTCCCAATTCTATTAGTATAAATAATAAGTTTACGAATCCTACAATATACACACTCTCAATACAAGTAAGAGAGAAAAAGAGATTTGAAAAAGTGTTTTTAAACTATTGAGTTTGAGTATGTGAGTTTCATATTTTCTGTTGATAGGACGGAGATAAATACACAGGTTCATGAAGAAGAAGTGCAACCTTCATGAACGCACAGATTTGATATCTAGACTTAGTTGAATCCCGGAGATAGTGCTGCCATTTGTCTTCCGTTGCACGTGGAAGAGGCTCCAACTATCTTCAAGAAGCGATTACGCGCCTTTAAGCCTCGATACTCACCGTTTTAATATATCGGTTCCAACAATTTGAAGATACTTTTCTCTCCAATAGATTTATTTTCATTATTATCCAACATTGATTATTCGGTTTCTCAACTGAATATCGAGACTTTTGATGGTATATATATATATATATAGATATATATATATATATATATATATATCTCAACGGTGAAAAAAAAATTATTTTTCCTTCGACAATTGAAAATTGCTTATGTCATGACTAAGCCATGTTCAGCTGCTCTGGGTGACAAAACATCATTTGATCAAGTTTAATTTGATCAATGAGAAGATCACAAGGTGGATTGAATTGGCATCTCATCCTACTACAGGTGACAAGAATTCTTCCATGCCTAGTAGGGGAATTATGTAACCCAATATCCTATATTGGTAGGCATAAGGGCAATTGGATGAAATTGCACTTTTGGTAAGCTGATCATTCTAAAGGATGAACACCATATTCTTAATATTCATATGAATATGGTTTATAATTCATTTCCTTTCAAGTGTGACTTCGAGGTTATCTTTGAATCTTGTATGTTCCTTGAAATAATCTTTTCATTAAAGGTATATATAAATTTGTGTTATAATTTATATTTATATTGCCAAAGTCATTGATTAATAACGTGTTATCAATGAACTGAATCATTTTATCAAAGGATCTGTTAGGGATTGATTGAAAGGGTATAGTAAAACTTATATGAATCAATGTATTATTGGTAGCACATTAAAATTTAGTGGTCTTTCATATATGTTGAAAAAAATATGGTACCTTAGAACTGATCTCTATCGATTACATTATTAATGCTCATTTTGAATATACTTATGTTTATTACTTGAAAGCTGAAAGCTCTAGTAGGTTACTTTCCGCCTGATTAGATCATATTCTGTGATGAACGAGAAAATCACAAAAGAAGTTTATTATTTTTCGGGACGTGTGCCATTGGTTGATTGAAACTAGATTATTTCTCCCCATTTCAGTTAGTCAAAATCATGTAAGATCATAACTAGTGGGGGGATCAGATGACATTATAAGAGGGGAACTCTTCAAATTATAAAGTGGCATGCACAATCATAATTTCTAATAAATGATACATCTGAAGGAGGTCTTTAGATTTGCAAATAATGGCTTTAAGGTAAGTTCTAAGTTCATCAATTTTTCATTCAAAATTGGTATGATTGTCGAAATGAGCCACTTTATTAATGGTATGCTTCCTAGTTATAAAACTGATTTTTGGTTATTGATAAATTTCTTAATTTATGGCATGTCATATACTTGATTACATGAGTTTAAATTCATTAATCAAAAGGATAACCAATGATAATGTTCATATAGATCAAAGCATTACACGTTGTGTGTAAACTTTTATTGATGTGTTAAAAAGACACTAATACTGGAAATTTGATCCATATTGACATGTTTGAAATGAGCTAATTATATTCATAAAGGAAAGTGATATGTTATCATTTTATTGATGATACCAATTTTTATCCTTGAAAGCTCATTTTTGAAAGCTCCTAAATAGATGAATGAAAGTTTAGGAAAGTAATGATTGCAGCTGAATTTCAAATTGATAAAAGGAAATTCCAAGGAAATTCTGGCAATTATTATTTGCCTATAAAGTTCTTAATTTGAACTTTTAACATGATGGATCTTAGGGAAGCTGTGTGATTGTGTAAATCAAAGATGTGGGGCATCAACATGGATTTACTCTCATGCAATCCAATTTTATCAATTAATCTTGAAAGGTTCAAAATCTTATCAGATGCTGCAGTCTTTGTTCTTATTGATCCTAGATCAGAGTCAGTTTGCAATCAAGGCAATGCAAAGAATCAACTTGAATTCTCAAATTATTGGTGGTCTTTTTATTTGGTGGTCTTTTTATGCGATGAATTGCACCAGGGCAAACACACAACTTGTTATCAAGTACAGAAATAATCTGGGAAGAGATAATTGAATTTCTCTATTGAGAATATAGAAGTACTTGTAGAGTACTATGGATCATGGGTTGCATTATTGAAATTACCCGGTTGTTCTTTGCTATGAATGTTCAATGTTCATACCAACTTGGATCTTCACCTTGGGTGGAGTTATGATTTCTTGGAAATCAAAAGGGTGAACTTGTATAACTCATTCCTCGATGGAATTTGAATGTTATTGCACTTTTTCTACTAGAGAGGAAGTTGACTGGGTAAGGATCTTACTGGAGAGTATTCCAATACGAAGTAAGCCTATACCGCTCTTGAAATATTTTTATAACAATAAGGTTGCGATACTTCAAGATCATAGCCAATGTTACAATGAAAAGTCTATACATGTGCAGTTGAAGCACAATCATCTGGAAGAGATCTTGGCAAATGGATTATCACAGTTTACTGTGTGAAAGCCAAATTTAATATGGCAGATCCACTATCGAAAGACATGTGAAGGGACCTAGTGTCCAAGGCCAAGTCTCATTTGGCAGATCCACTGTCGAAAGACATGTGAAGCGACCTAGTGTCCAAGACCGAATCTAATTTGGCATATCCACTGTCGAAAAGCATATGAAGGGACCTAATGTCCAAGGCCGAATCTAATTTGGCATATCCACTGTCGAAAAACATATGAAGGGACCTAATGTCCAAGGCCATATCTCATTTGGCATATCTACTGTCGAAAGACATGTGAAGGGACCTTGTGTCCAAGACATTGAAAGGGATGGAACTAAAGCCTGTAATTGAATAAGTTGTATTATTATAGGAACCCAACCCAGTGATATTTCTCTTGGGTTCAATGGGAAAAACAAGTAACATAACAACTTGTGTGAGCACATCAATGTTCATTTCTCTATGATGTGATGTGGGTGCTCAATCCTGTAACTGAAAAGGTTGAGATTTTAGAACTCTTAATGAATCTATAGATCGATTTTCGATTGGAGTGTACATGATCACTCTTGATAGATTCACCGTATAATCAATGAGGAGGCTGAGACATGAGTCTCTTAATGAATTCTATAGATCGGATTTTCGATTGGGGTGTACATAATCACTCTTGATAGATTCACTGATTTATCTTGCAATGAGGATGATGAGATTAAATTCTCTTAATGAGTCCATAACCGGTATTCGGTTGGAATGTGAAGGTCACTTTTGATGGACACACCGATCTGAGTGTGGAAGTAGGGCCGCTTCTATAGGATCTAGACAGGCTTGATCCTTAACGACGCTCAAAAGTATGGATTCTGGACACATGGCTGAAACGTGTCAAACTTTAGTACTTTATCTCTGAACAGAAGTGTGTGCGTAGTATTTCTTATCCATCAACGTGATTCTTGGTTCAAGACATCATTCACCAAGTTCCTAGATGAAATTAAGGGTACTTACACTAGGTAATGATCTAAAAGACACTATTATTGATGCACATAGCTGTACCGATCAACAAAAGAAATTTGAAACAAGTGGGGGATTGTTGGATTTATGTTTCAAATTGATTTTATTAATCTTTACTTACGAAGATATAAAGTATTTTTACAAACTCTAACTCAAAGGTTTTTCACCTGATGCATTTAATCTACTATATTAATATGTTATTTATGAGTTAAGTTTAAAGTTACATTAAATACTTAATTAATGTCTTCTAAATATATTACATTCCCACTTTTACTAATATAAATAATAGGTTTACGAATCCTATAATATACACACTCTCAATATAAATAATAGGTTTACGAATCCTATAATATACACACTCTCAATACAAGTAAAAGAGAAAAAGATATTTGAAAAAGTGTTTTCAAATTATTGAGTTTGAGTGTGTGAGTTCATATTTTCTGTTGATCAGATAGAGATAAATACACAGGTTCATGAAAAAGAAGAAGTGCAACCTTCATGAGAGAACAGATTTGATATATGGGCTTAGTTGAATTCCGGAGATAGTGCTGTCATTTGTCTTCCGTTGCACGTGAGAGAGGCTTCAACTATATTTAAGAAGCGATTATGCGCCTCTAAGCCTCGATACTCACCGTTTTAATATATCGGTTCCAACAACATTCTTAATAATCATGAACAGAAAGTGATTTGGACGGAGTAATTCTCAAAAGTAGCACAAAATCGCTTAAGCAATCTACCTCTATCCACTTTCTTTAATCAAATTCCAATTTAAAAACTTTGAAATACAATGTCGTGTCATGTGTGTGGACAATGTGCCAGTTTGAAAATTTTATTCTTTTGTAAAGAATATTAGAAAGGATTGTACTTTGTTTAATTTATTTAAAAAATCAATAAAAACTATATTTGTTCCACTCATTTCTTTATTTGGAGATACAAATTTGTGTGTACATTGTGTTTAATAACGACATTAATCATTCAAAACATAATCAAACCAAGCTTAGAGACCTACTTCATGGGTTTGGAAGAGTTTGACGGGGTGATTATAAATTTTTTGAGGTACGCCATTGATGGAAATTTTTCAGTGAAAGAGTATATATCATATAGCTGTGAGAATTGTATCACATATATTCATCTTCAAACTTTAGGGTCCTTAATTCAAGAATCCCTCGCATTTTTTTCTTCGGAGAAACGATGTGGGGCTGGAATTGTGCTCAGAGATCATGGTGTGAATAAATTTTTTATGTGATTGATGGGAAAAAAAGAAAAAAATTAAATAATTGAGTTCGAAACTGGATTGTTTAATTAATTAGTAAATTCTAATTCTCATTTTATACTCATCAAAGTAAAATTTATATATAATACACACATCACACACACATATTATATAAAATTTTGCGGTTATATTTGGCAACCGAATCGTTTTATATTTATAATTTTATCTAAAAAAAGATAACATTTTTGTTGTAGAGTATGTTCCATATCATATAGTAATTGGAAACATATATTTGACAAGGTAAAATTTTTTGCAAGATTTTGGAAAGAAAAATATAAAAATATGTTTTGTTAAAATACTATTGGAATTCATAAATAAATGGGAAGTTAAAAAAAGGTCACTTGGAGTTTTTTTTATTATTATTATCATTATTATTTTGATATTAATAATTGCTACTGTGTTTCAGTTTCGGCCTTTTTCTCAAAAAAACAAATACAGCACTATTCAAAAATGAAACAAAAATTACAAAACATGTTTCCGTTTTTTTTTTTTTGTTTTGGCACCACTTGATACACACACACATATATATATTAGGGCCTAAGCTAAAACGTTCTCAAATTTTATTTTATCTTATTTACCTGACCAAATAATATATATTTGATCTTACCTATATACGGAGTATGTATTTTTCTTTTTCTTTATATCTAATTATATACTCCGTATATGTGTATATTATTTCATAATTTTCCCTGCAACGCACAGTCACTGTAGAACGGAGAGAGGAAAGAGAATTGTCTAGAGAGAGATGAAGTCCAATGACTACTACGCTGACTTGGAGGAGCAGCTATGGACGTGGACGACGTCGACACCCTAGAGATCTTTGGCGAGGGCGCTACTGCCGTCGACCACAAGCTCTCCGACGCCGGCTTCTTCAACTTCTTCGAGGACGACCTTGACAACTCCGATGTCAACTGAAAACTCTCGCCACCGTCATCAATCCTTCTATATCTGGGTTTCATTTGGTAAGATTGTCTCTTCTGATGCTTATTTTGGCGGAACGATGAGAATGCAATGTTTATATACCATCTTTCTGTTATGAATCTATGTGTGCTTGAATATATAAATGGTACAAATTACTCTTATTTTTTTATTTTTTTATCGTTGTTATATCATTGTTCGTATCATTGAATCTCTGGAAATGGGGGAATTTTAGGGTATTCTGCTATTTGTTCTTCTGTTATTTAAGCTTCAGGCATTTTATGGCGAGAATCTATTATCTAGGGTTTCTCAAAGAATCAATAAATTATATATTGACAACTGATTTTAGTTTTGTATGCATCATTTACAGTTTAAGAATTTGGACAATTACAGTGTCTTGCCCTAAAGTTTGCCAGAATAACATGTACCTGTCTCTCTAAGCATATCAGAGAAGAGAAGATTCAAAGATCTAAGCATATCAGAGAAGAGAAGATTCAAAGATCAACAGTGAAAGAAATCGATAACTATGAATTAGGGTAATTGTAAATTGATTTTTATTAGTGATCAGCTTCAGTGAAAAGTGAAGTCACCAACACTTCACATTTTACACAAATAAAGGTGGCACTTATGTTTGAATTGATATTCAAAATGTGTATCAAACACACTTAATTAGGTCAATATTATTTTTGAACTGTGAAGAGAGATCCCAATTATTTTGTCTGACCTCAGGGGATGTCTTATTTTGATGTCACTTTCCCTTGAGAGCCTAGTTATTTTGATGGATTATGCTCCTCTATTTAGGGATGTAGAATTTTCTCTTTCCAAGCTATGCTTACTGTTCTTTTAGGATTTCTATCGAGAACAATTGAACAACTTGATATATATTTTTCAACTGGGATTTCTGTCAAGGTTTGAAGATGAGGGCTTTATCTTTTGCTAACATTTGGTGATGAACTGTGGAGGTGGTTCTAAGGTTACTTGCTGTTGAACTAATTTAAGATATTGAGTGGTAGTATGATTTGGGAGGTGTGGGGATGCTTTTTTTTTTTTTGGTTAATAATTGTTCGTTCCTCATGTTTTACTAGGATGGAATTCAAAGCCATGGTAATGTGACGGGAAGCATCAATTGTTGCTTTGATCTCTAAATTGTCACGGAGTGCAATAATATGTTGGTGGATAATGAACTTACCAATATATATATAATATAAATATGCTTTGGGAAGCACAAGGAGATGGAACAGGAGTCCCTTTGCAATGGGTCACCTTCCATTGTCTTAGGGAATATTAATAGAATAGGCAAGACTGCTTCAACCCCTTTAAAAGGTTGTCCTAACCCATACCTCTTTTTTGTCCCTTGGCTGTCGGGACGGTTCCATCCATTTGGCTTCGTTGCTAAGAGGTAAGACCATACTATCTTCCCTTAAGAGCACTTTCTTGTAGCTAAGTTAGTTAAGGGTTAAGTGGGAACTCTACCGGTTTTGTTGACATTGGGTCTTGCTCTTTTGCTAGCATGTACCCCCCTTTGTTTCTGTATAACCGTCTCCCCCATCAGTTTCTATTCAAAAGGGACCGTAAGAGGGACTACTTTTTCAAGAGGGACTACTTATTGACTATTTCATAATTTTCTCTGCAACGCACAGTCACTGTAGAATGGAGAGAGGAAAGAGAATTGTTTAGAGAGAGATGAAGTCAATGACTACTATGCTGACATGGAGGAGCAGCGATGGACGTGGACAACGTCGACACCCTAGAGATCTTCGGCGAGGACCCTACTGCCGTCGACCACAAGCTCTCCGACGCCGACTTCTTCGACTTCTTCGAGGACGACCTTGACAACTCCGATGTCAACTGAAACCTCTTGCCACCGTCATCAATCCTTCTATTTTTGGGGTTTCATTTGGTAAGATTGTCTCTTCTAATGCTTATTTTGGCGGAACAATGAGAATGCCATGTTTATATGCCATCTTCTGTTATGAATCTATGTGTGCTTGAATATATAAATGGTACAAATTACTCCTATTTTAGATGTTTATTAGATTTTTTTTTTTATTTTTTATTTTTTATTTTTTATTTATAGTTGTTCGTATCATTGTTTGTATCATTGAATGTCTGGAAATGGGGGAATTTTAGGGTATTCTGCTATTTGTTCTTCTGTTATTTAAGCTTCAGGCATTTTATGGCGAGAACCTATTATCTAGGGTTTCTCAAAGAATCAATAAATTATACATTGACAACTGATTTTAGTTCTGTATGCATCACTTACAGTTTGAGAATTCTGACAATTACAGTGTCTTGCCCTAAAGTTTGCCAGAATAACATGGACCTGTCTCTCTAAGCATATCAGAGATGAGAAGATTCAAAGATCAAAAGTGAAAGAAATCGATAACTATGAATGAGGGTAATTGTAAAATGATTTTTATTCTATTGGATTCTAAGTGATCAGCTTCAGTGAAAAGTGAAGTCACTAACACTTCACATTTTACACAAATAAAGTTGGCACTTATGTTTGAATTGATATTCAAAATGTGTATCAAACACACTTAATTAGGTCAATATTATTTTTGAACTGTGAAGAGAGGTTCTTATTGTTTTGTCTGACCTCAGGGGGAGGTCTTATTTTGATGTCACTTTCCCTTGAGAGCCTAGTTGTTTTGGTGGATTATGGATGTAGAATTTTCTCTTTCCAAGTTATGCTTACTGTTCTTTTAGGATTTCTATCTGGAACAATTAAACAACTTGATATATATTTTTTCAACTATTGGATTTCTGTCAAGGTTTGAAGATGAGGGCTTTATCTTTTGCTAACATTTGGTGATGAACTGTGGAGGTGGTTTTAAGGTTACTTGCTGTTGAACTAATTTAAGATATTGAGTGGTAGTATGATTTGGGGGGTGTGGGGCGTTTTTTTTTTGGTTAATAATTGTTCGTTCCTCATGTTTTTCTAGGATGGAATTCAAAGCCCTGTTAATGTGACAGGAAGCATCAATTGTTGCTTTGATCTCTAAATTGTCATGGAGTGTAAAACAAGCTCGCCGATGCCGACTTCTTCAATTCCTTCGAGGACGACATTGACGATTCTGATATCAATTGAAACTCACCGCCACCGTCATCAATCCTTCTATTTCTAGGTTTTTTTTTTGGTAAGATTGTCTCTTCTCATGCTTATTTTGAAGGAACAATGAGAATGCAATGTTTAGATATGATCTTCTGTTACGGATCTACGTGCGCTTGAATATATAATTAATACAAATTACTCTTATTTTAGATGTCTAGTCGATTGCTTATATATTTGTTGGTATCATCGGTTGTCTGGATTTCATCTAATTTTAGAGATTTCTGTTATTTGTTCTTCTGTTAATTAAGCTTCAGGCATTTATGCTGAATTTTGAGAATCTATTATATAGGGTTTCACTTTCAATCAATAATATGTGTATATTTATATATATTTCTTATGTTATTTCTGTATGCATCATTTCCTGTTTAGAATTGGGACAATTGCACTGATATCCTCTTAAGCATATCAGAGAAAGAGAAGATGCAATGTAAAAAAAAAAAAAGTGAAAGAAAAAGAGAACTTTGAATGAGCCAGTTCAACCTTGTATTTTAACAAAGACAATGTTTTTAAGTTTAGTACCGGCCGGCTCTGGACCAGAAAGACCTAACGGAGCAATTCCTTATTCATGGGTAGTATGGTGATTTTGCAAGCTCTGTTAGCAGAGTTTGGTGTTGTTTGATAAAACTGCAAGTTAAGTATTGAAAATTCTAAGAACTGAATTTTAAGTGTTGGTGCTTTAAGCTGCAATCTGAAATTGTTTTTATTTGTAAAGAAAATTATGTATTTTATTGGATTTTAAGTGTTCAACATTCACTGGTAACTCATAATTTTATTGGATTTTAAAATTTTACACAAATTTAAGCAGCACTTATATTAAAAGTGATTCAAAATGCACTATCAACCACACTTGATTCGATGAACACTTAAATCAATTTAGTATTAAGTGCTGAATTGGGCTATAAAACAAAATCCTAGTCTGAAATCACTGACAAGTGATCAAGGTCAGTGTATATTCCATTGAAAGTTTGATAATCCCATTTTTTTTTTTGTTGTTTGTAGAGCCCAGCTTGTTATGATGGATTACAGTCCTCTGTTTTTTAGGGTTTCTCTTTCCAAGCTGGGTAGCTAGCTTACTGAGGGTTTAGGATCTCTATCGGAAACAATTGAACAACTTGATTTATTTATTTATTTATTTATCTATTCAGTTGGGATTTCTGTCAAGGTTTGAAGAGGAGGGCTTCATCTTTTGGTAACATTTTGGTGATGATCTGTGGAGGGGGTTCTAGGGTTACTTCTTGTTCAACTAATTTAAGATACCGAGTGAAATATGATTTCGGGTCTCGGGGATGCTTTCTGCTTCTCAAAAAAATAAGTGTTCCTCATGTTTTTCTGGGATGGAATTCGAAGCCATGGTAATGTGATTGGAAGCATCAATTGTTGCTTTGATCTCTAAATAGTCAGGATAGACAAATGGAGTGTGATAATATGTTGGTGGATAGTGGATTATATATATATGCACTTCTGGATAACATGCTTGCAATTTGCTCTGTCTAGTACACTTACTGATGGGTAACAGGTTTCTGGAATCTTTGGGGTTGTATTTGGTGAGGGTTGGTATCTTAGTGGATATTGAAATATGTTTAGGATGCATTATGGACTTTGCAAGTTGTGTAGGACTTCACCTTCCAGAAAAAGGAAAAAAAAAAAAAGTTGGGTAGGACTTCAGGAATAACTCAAAACTGGCTCCCTTGAGGACTTTTTTGTTGAACTTGCATCTATGTTACATGGACTCGGGTATGGGTGTCGAACATGTGTATGTATCCATGCGTCGGACGTGTCAAATCTTCAAACAGAACGACACATGGACACAGCTAAATATTCATTTTATTAATTATTTTGTTTTATTTTCTAGAGTAAAGTAATATTTTTATATAATATAATGTTCAATATAGGCATTTAACTCATTTTAAAGTAATAGTATAATGTAATTAAATGATAGGATATGCTTTTTAAGTACGTGCCTAACCAAAAGTGTCAGACACATATCCCATATCCATGTCCGAAGAATATGTGTCCGACACAGGTACTTTACTACTTTTGAAGAGTCCATATAATATAGACTTGCATTTTGGTCATGATGAGAACACAAAGATTTTGGTGAGGTCATTGGATCACTCTGTTGAGTTGCTCTAAACTAGATTCCGTGAGTAAGAGGTTCGCTTTCTGTTATGCCACATGGAAAGTGATAAAATAACTATTTTTGAATCGCATAAGGATTGCAAGTCTCTGGTCTCAAGTAAAGAAATGAGAACTCTAAATTAAATATTCTTTAAAAATGTAAACAACAATTCTGAATACATGAAAGTCAGCATTCCAAAGAAATAAAACAAAATCTGTAGAAAAATCTTTGCTTGGCGTCTGCCCCGTATCATGTAGTTAGTTACTATGGGTTAGGAACAACCCAAAAGGGCGGTGGTTGAATTTTCTGCATATTACATTGATAGAACGGTTCAACACTTCTATCATCCAAGTTGAATATACCCATATCGTGGCCCCCGTATAAGTAATCCTCATCCATTCGATCCCCGTAATCGTCGGTGAAGTAAATTGAATTTGCCTTATATTTTGGAAAATCGTGAGCAGAGAGTGACATTGAGTGATTCCCACCCAAAAATAACATGCTATTGCTTAAAGATTTTACCTCTACCCACTTCTTTTGACCAAATTCCAACTTATAAACTCTGAACTGCAATGTTTTGTATGGACAAACTAAAGGGTGGTTCGTTTGACCATTGAGAAGGTCTTCCTCATAAACTGGTACACCATCATGAACATACTCTCCAATATACCTCTCAACAAGCAGAAGATCACCTGATGTTTCTACCAAGTAGCAACGTGTAGTATAAAGATCTTTTTGCCAAGGTTCTTCCACTTCTTTTATAGGGAAAGAAGGATCAATAGTGGTTATTTTAATAGGTAAGGAACCATGGAAGCCCCAAACTTCAACCGAACCACGCTCAGATAATGCAAAAAACATACCATCATCATCGAATGTTATATCGCAATAAGGTGCATGTTGCTGACCTTCAAGGCCAGTCCATGCATTGTCTCCAGGCCTAAAAAAGGCAAGCTTCAATTGGTTGCCGTCGATAATAACTATTCTATAATTGTTGTTGTGAGATGGATTTGAGGATAGAACAGCCTTCCTGATCAAGTGCTTATGAAGATGTTTCAAGGGTAATTTATACTGCCTATAATTGCCAACCTTGTATGTCACAAGAACTGTGTCTTCAGAATTTTTTTGAACACTCAGTATGTGTGGTAAAGCTTCTTTGTTGGGTAGTTGAATTCGAACTCGTGAAAATAGATTGAGGAGAAAAGGATCCGCGTTTTCATCCAAGAGCACCAGCCACCCATGAGAGGAACCAACACACTGACTATTGTAAAGTTCTCTGGGTACGTTGTTAAGCCTTCCCACCCTTTTGTGCTCGAGATCGAAGAAGCGACTGAACGAACCAACATCGTCTGTGAAGAACCCATCATCGTCTATATCACATTCTTTTTCTTCAAATGGAAGCATGAGTAACGGAGTTTGAAGAAGATGATGATGAGGGCCGGGGGTGTGAGGTGGTGTGGGTGGCAATGAAAGGTAGTTTTGTACAGTGTAATGCATTGAAGTTGAGACAGCTTTGAAACTCAGCATGTTGATGAAAGACAATTTGGGTAGAATTAATTCTAAAAGCTCTGATGGAAGTTCAGACAGTGAATATGTTGTTCTTTTTGATCCAAGCATTTTTGCAAGTGAAGGAAACTGGTAGTTGTGTGTGTATATGTAAGTATTTGGGATCCTATTGCAATGGAAACTTTCCTATTTTGTGTTTTTTCTAGTCCTATTCCAATTCCAATGGAGACTTTCCTATTTTGTTTTTTTCAAATTATTATTTTTACCGTAGTAGTGCCGCCTCAGTAAACTTGAAGCTTACTTCTTATAAAACTTTCCTATTTTGTTTTTTTTCTAATTATAATTTTACCGTACCCAAGTAATTAATGTGCCGCCTCAGTAAACTTGAAGCTTACTTCTTATATAACTTTCCTATTTTGTTTTTTTTCTAGTCCTTCCCATTGAAATTTAGGTTTGCAACTTCGGCGAGTCCAACACGAAATAATCTGAACGCAGCCCGAAATTTTGTGGGCTTGGATAATATTTTTCTAATTTCGGTTTGGGCTTGAGTTATATATTTTGAGTCCGAATTTAATTCGGGCTGGGTTTGGATTGATATGAATGAAACTCGAAGCCCAATTCAAGCCCTAAAATATTATATATATTTATAATTATACTTAAGTCACAAAAGTATAGTAGTCAAGTTGGTAACATGTTTGGGATTTATACTTAAATTTCAAATTTAAGTTATGGGCGTAGCATTAATTGATTTATTTTTTACACAAATTCTTCTGAGGTGGGCTTAGTGTGGGTTCGGGCTGGAAAAATTATGTATGGGCTGGGCTCGGGCTTAAGGCAAGCTCGGGTTGAGCTTGGGCTGAAAATTTTCTATATGGGCCTATCCAGAGATGAGTGCCAAGTCCGCCCCGCCCGAGTTGTAACCTTTTTGAAACTTTTCTATTTTGCTTTTTTCTAACATTACCGCCTTATTAATTGAAACTCTCCCAGTAATTAATTGTGTTAGGGTAGAGACTAATCTTTTGTAAGTAACTAATTTGTTTTAGACTATGCAATCCCTCTTTATTTTTTATAAATACAATTGTGTCCCTCTAGCAAATTAATATCATAGTCATTTTGGGGTTCTCGTGGATAGGGATGGCAATTTGACCTGGCCTGCGGTTACTAGTCCCGGCCTTTTTTGGCGATTTTGGGGGACTGTTTAACTTAACTTATTTGGGCGGAGATGGTTTAATGTAATAAAATCTGCGTGAGTTTGGTGTGGGGACAGGGGAGGTCACCTGCCCCTACCTTATTTAGATAAACAAATTACTTAAGTACTCTTATTTGATTAGTGTGTGTGTATATATATATTAAGGGACAATACTTATGTCCTAACTAGTGAGTACCCATAATAAATGGATACGTTCTATTTTAATTACCAAATCATAGATGGTAATCAAATCACTATCTCTGATTTGATAAGTGATTATCTACTTACCATATTTGATTTTGGTAATTAAAGATCAAATATAAATTTATTAGTGGTCTACATCAAAGGTGAGTATCTAATGAGGATGGAAGTATTTCATGATTTTGATCTACTTCAATGATAGATTTGGTGCAGGCAAATTCAATTTACTTCAATGATAGAGTTGGATTTTATGAAATTTTAAAAAATAATTAAAAAAATTAAACCAAAATTTTATTAAATTTCACCAGTTTAAATTTTAATTCCAGGCCCGAATTACATACACTCGAACACACCACAATGGATTGCTTTCTAGAGTTTAAAGAAAGCTCGATGTCAGAAAAAGCTTTTCAATTTGAGCTTTAAATTCATTACTTTACCATTGGCCATTGGGTAGGTACTTTGTTTAATAAGCAGAGCTTTACCGGCTTTAAATATACGGTTCAAACCGTTTTTCACGAACAATGGGCACATGTTAACCTCAAAATATCACGTCGATCTGGCCCAGCCCATCTATAATGCCTAGTCTAGTTTTGAGGTTTTTTCTCGATTGGCATTCTTCGCATGAAAATTCTATTTTTGGGGGGCTTTAAAAAAAAAAAAAAAGAGCAATTCAAAAAAAGAATAAATAACTTAAAAAACCATTCCTATAATGTAATATAACATAGATTCATAAAACTTAGTTACGATCATAATATTTGCATTAATATAACCTACTCTACAGTGGAAACACATTACAGTGGCCTAGTGTTAGCCCCTTGACGGTTGTCCAAGGGAAGACATGGGCATTTCAAGGCCATGCCATGTCTTAGGAATACGTTGGCTTTGATTAGACAGCCATGAGGGTGCTCAGTGGGTTGTCAGCGTGCACAAGATGCTCAGCGTGCACACAAGATGCTTAAAAGGATGCTCGGCGTGCACTGGGGGTGCCCAGTGGCACTTTCGTAAATATGGCGAAAAGTGAAACTTGGAGTTTTGACTCGGGATCTTTATGGGAGATACCTTGAGTCCATAGAAGCTGGTTGGCACAGACGGCACTTAATTTGGATGTCGGGAAAGGTCTGAAAGGCCATTATGACTCCTCAAGCATGGGTGATGTTTACTCCTGTCAGAGTGCTGGATTTCCTTAAGACTATATTAGGGGGGGGTCTGTTGAGCGCATCGGTTGGGCTATGGCATGGCTTGCTTAGAGGGCTTAGCCAACGTGCATGGGCACGTGTTGCACCACTCCAAGAGGGTTGCACAAGTGGGGAGCATCCAAGATATTGAAGGGCAAATAAGTGTGCACCGACACGCGCGCTGGAGTGCAGCGGCGTGCGTGCGGGCGTGCAGGTTGGCGCGCGGGTAGGCGTCCAACCTAGTGTGCGCGAGCGTCTAGCTCGGTGTGCACATGGGCGTCCAGGTGGGTGTGCAGCCACGGGCGCATGAGGGTACAAACATGGCGCGCGAAGAAGGGCACTAGTGTGTGCGCCGGCGTGCACTTTGGTGTGCACCTGAGCGTGCGCACGGGCGTGCATGGCTTGGCACGCCGTGCACTCAGAGACATATATATGTGGGTGCAGATTGGTGGACTTGGGCTAGGTTCACAAGGTTGACTCAGATGTGGCTAGAGCATGGATAACACAAAGTCATGGCTTGCGGTTACAAGAGGTGGTGGCTTAGTGGGCTCGGTTGGTTGGGGGAAGTTACTAGCACTTCCCACTCATCATGGGAAGTGGGGGAGTGCTGAGTAACCTCCCAAACATGTGGCACAATTCTGAGAGGACCAACACACAGGCGGTTAGGGGTGGTTTCCTCCACCATGCAGAATCTAACTTCTTGTGGTTATGTGGCATGAGCAGAACATGCCAACAAGTCTAGCAGTTGGGCTTGTCAACTGCATTATAGTGCTGGCTCATTTAGAGGGTGCCAGCACGACCCTAGGTGGATGGGGGTGTCATCCATCATCTTAGTGGGCAGTTATGGGCGGTTTTGAGAGTGGCCTATATAATGCTAAGGTGGGCTTTGTAGAGGGAACAGAGAAGAGGGTGTGAGCCTTGGTTGTTCCTTGTACGAACTCATGTTCCTTTGTAATATGTTTAATATGAGCAAAGGTTGGGGCTTGTCCCTGTAAACTGTGTGTGCCTTCTTTATATTTCTATATTGTGTGTATTGTGTTGTTGTGTTGGCTGAGACTTGGTGGCCCCAAGTGCCATTGCAGAGGCAAAAATTCGTGGTGTAATTTAGCCCTGTGACAATTGGTATCAGAGCCCGGTTCTACGATGGCTGGAGGTAATACTCGTGAAAGAGTTTCCCATTTGGAAGAGTTCGTGGGTTTTCCTACAGAAACAGAGGTACAAGATGGTGCAGAGAGCCTTGTTGTTCGAATTGAAAACTTGGCTTCTGAAGTGGAGATCTTGAAGACTGATCCTGATGGGTTTGGTGACTTCATGCAGGCCACCAAAGAGCAATTGTCCCGTATCTCTGAAGATGTTGAGTCACTGACTGACGTCTTCAAGAAGAACCTGAAAGACCTTGAAGATGAAGTGTCCTTGGTGAAGAGGGCCATTCATGGGAGTTCCAGAGGCGGTGGTGATCCTCTTTCGCAGAAGATCAAGGTGCCGGATCCCAAGTCTTTCAGTGGTACCCGAAATGCCAAAGAGTTGGAGAATTTCCTATGGGACATGGAGCAGTACTTTAAGGCTGCTCGGATCCCTGATGGCGAGAAGGTGACCATTACAAGCATGTATCTGTCTGGTGATGCAAAGCTATGGTGGCGCACACGGACAGAGGACGATGCTTCTGCAGGTAGGCCTCGGATTGAAGTTTGGGAGACCCTCAAGAAGGAATTGAAGGACCAGTTCTTGCCTCAGAACACTGCATGGATTGCAAGGGAATCTCTGAAGAAATTGAAGCACACAGGTACCGTTCGTGACTATGTGAAGGACTTTAGTTCCTTGATGCTGGACATTCGAAATATGTCAGAGGAGGACAAGCTGTTCAATTTCATGTCCGGATTGCAACCATGGGCTCAGGCAGAACTCCGTAGGCAAGGTGTGAGGGACCTTCCTACTGCCATGACAGCGGCAGATTGTCTTGTAGATTTCAAAATGACTAGGTCTACTACACAAGACAAGAAGAAGTCCAAGGAGGGGAAGAAAGACAAAGGCCAGTCCTTCAGGTTCAAGGACAAAAAGAAGGACAAGAATCAAAAGAAGGATAAAGGGGGTGGCTTTGTCAAGGCCAAGGCAGATTACAACAACAAAGGGAGTAGTAGTGGGACTAAGCCCAACTACGGTTGTTTCATCTGCAATGGTCCCCATCGTGTTAGGGACTGTCCCAAGAGGGAGAAGCTGAGTGCTATTGTCGCTGAATCAAAAAGAGACTCAGACTCGGAATCTGGTCCAACCCGAGTTAATCCTCTGCAAATGCTGAATGCTCTTACTGAAGAACAGTCCATGGAGTTGAAAGGGCTCATGTTCATTCAGGTGACACTGAACGGCAAGGAAGTTTTGGCAATGGTGGACACGGGGGCCACTCATAACTTCATTGCGCAGAGGGAAGTAAGTAACTTTAATTTAAAGTTAATTCCACATGCTAATAAGATGAAAGCTGTGAATTCTGAAGCCAAGCCTGTTTTAGGCATGGCCACCACTTCTATGAAAGTTGGTTGTTGGGAGGGCGT